CACGCCCTGTGCCAGGTTGTGCGTGGCCCTATGTTTTCGTGATGAGGATTTTTTTCTCCTTAGTGATCTAGGAAGTTACTATAATTCAGCCTCTGTGCCTCATTTCTCGTGTGCTGCAGCAAAAACACTATTTGAGTTTCAGAAGAGAGGCATTAGCTTTTGGAAAGCAGTTGGCCTGACCAGCGGGTCTTTCTGCTGCGCTCCTGCTGCCAGCGCTGCCTGCCTCTCTGGGTGGTGAGTGCCGCGGCTGACGGCACCATCACACCCCAGGCTTTGAGCCTCCTGGTCCAGAGGCAGTGATAAACGGCTTGCCGGGAGCATTGGAAAGATCCAGACACCCAGCCCCAGACCCCGCACCTGATGTCTGCTGTCCTTGTCTGCAGCAGACATTATAAGGGCTTTGTGTATCAGTGGAGTTGAAGCAAAGAGTGCCCTGGAGCCCAAGAGCGTGACACCCAAGGAGTCCCTGCCCTGGCACTTGGGGACAGCCTTTGGTCTGGGGACAGCAGAGCTGTGTCAGCCCTGCACAATGTGGGCCAAGTGCTCAGTGTGTCTGAGTCACAGGGAGGTACCCTGTGGGTGTGAGGCAGAGCCTGTGACCTTTGTTACGGTTTAGACACGGTGTCCCCTGGAGAAGGGGATTTGGGAAGGTGATTGGATGAAGGGGCTGCTGTGTTCATCAGGGGGTTCATCCACGGATAAGTTCAGAGCCCAATGTGCTGTTGGGAGGCAGGGCCCGATTGGAGGTGGTCCCTGGGGGTGTGGCCTGAAAGGGTTTATCTCCCAGCCCTGCTCTTCCCTTCCCTCTGTGCTTCCTGGTCACCATAACCTGAGCAGCTCTTTTCTGCCGGCCCTTCTGCTCTTGAGCCTACTGACCACGGACTAAAACTTCTGAAACCACAGGCCGAAATAAACCTCTCCCGCTTTGGGTGTGGATGTTGGGTGCTCTATTCCAGCCACAAGAAAGTGACTCACGCAGCACTGTTACGGTAAATGAGTGTGGCTAATATTGGTGATCACCACACCACACCCCAGCCTTGAAGAACCGAGCCAAACTCCAGGGTCATTTCCGGAGCTCAGCAATCACCAGCAGACACACAGCAGACACAGATCTGGAGCGGGCCCGGTCTTCTCACCAACTGTGGGAGAGGCTGCTGCTCTAACACTCTGGCCACAGATGCATGGTCCTGCTTCGTGGGCAAGGAAATTGAGGCTCAAAGAAGCCTGCCCCATATCGCCCCACCAGCAAGTGGGGAGCTGGGACCTGGCCCCAAGTTCTGAGCCTCACGTGCTCTTCGGTGTGGTCACTTCGAGTCATGGGGCAGTAAAGGAACTGGGGCAGCCACCACTCCCAGGCATCCCAGGGGAGCCACAAAGAGGCCCCAGAAGTCAGTGTCCCCACGCGGGTGTCTGAGTGAAGCTCCACCCTGGGGCAGCTGAGCCAGCTCTGTCCCTCTGCCCTGCCAGCCCACGTCGTGCCGCCTCCCAGCCTGGCTCAGCAATCTGAGAGTAACCAGGCGCTGCACTCTGCACACGCCAGCTTTCTGTCACCTGCCGCGCAGAGCAGAGACTCTGAGATGCCTAGGAATCGGAGCCCCTTTCCTGTGAAGCAAACTCACCAACTAGAGTCAGGGCGCAGAGGGTCCCCCGGGCCACAGAGGAGCTGCACTGCACACGCCTCCAGCAGAGCTAGAGCCGAGGTGACGCTCGCCACCTCCTGCAGCGCCGGTGCAGAGCAGATGCCCAGCTCTAGCCTGGCTGGAAAGTTGTTGGCTGCGTCAAGTCCCCCAGTCGGCCCTCTCTTCTCCTCCCAGCGCCCACGTCACAGTGCCCAGGGCAGAACAAACGGCTTCTGTTCAGGGAAATAACGAGGCACACACATCAGCCAGCTTTGGAGTAGCTGTGACAAACTGGCTGCCTCTCGAGGGCCTGTCCTTTGCCTGAGGCCCAGAGGCCGCTTGTCCCAGCTGGAGCAGGGACATCGTGGCTCCTGTCTGCCCCTCCTCACGCCAGCTGGCCCACGATATGCTCTGTGCCTCCAGCCTGCAGCTTTTCCCTCAGTGACAGGGACGGAGTGGGTGTCCCCAACCTAGCAGTCTCTTCAAAGCCTAGGTTACTTTCCTGGGGCTACCAAACTGCCCCCCACACACACACCAGAAGTGAGTTCTTTAACACCACAGGCCCCAGGGAAGGACCAGCCCTGGCCTCTTCCAATGTCCAGTGGTTCTGGGTGCTCCCTGACTTGTGTCTGAAATGTTTCCAACAGCTTCCGTGTGTAGGTGGCCTTGATCTGATGTCTTTTTTTTTTTTAGGTACTGGGAATTGAACTCAGGACCTTGCGCTTGCCAGCCAGATGCTTGTGCCACTGAGCTCTATCCCCAGCCCAACTAGGTGTTACTCTGTGTCCCTACCTTGATTTATAAGGAACCAGTCAGCAGACTCAAGGCGCACCTTAAATCCAGGATTATCCCATCCATGCCCATGAGCCAGGAGCATTGCAAAGCCCTCATTCTGGGGCTCCGGGTGAACATAACTTTGGGGAACCTGCATACCTCAGCAGGTTTATTCTTTGCGTCACTGCAGGGTGGGCACGCAGCAGTTACCCGCCAGACCACCAGGATCAGCACTGGGACCTCAAGAGCTGATGGGTTCATTTGCCCGGCCCCTTCATCTTCCACCTGGGGAACCTGAGGACCAACAAGGGGCGGAGCCAGCTTCTCTGGGTCTGTAGGGGAGCAGAGACCATCTGTCGTTCTCGTTCTCTGCAGGCGGGGGAGGAGCAAGTGTCTCCAGTGGCCTTCGTCTGCCTGGGCAAATAAATAAGCAGCTAAATGAATGGCCTGGGTGTGATGGTCCCAGTGGCTCTGGGGACAGTGTCCAGACAGTCTGCTTCATGCAGACAGGGAATTGGCAACTTTGGTCAGGGGCTCGGGGTCACGGGCAGCAGGGCAAGGCTGGCAGGGGTGCTGTGAGGTGCTGGGCTGATGGCCTCGAAGGCCACGGAGAAGCAGGCTGCGGTGATTCGTGGTTCTCAGCTCTTCCGGGCTTCTCTGCAGAGCCCGGGGGGCAGCAGGTGTCCCCCTGCTCCCTCCTGTGCAGCCTCCCTCTGCTGTTCCCAAATGCACACTGAGGCCGAGGCTGGACCCCCGGCCAGAGGGGGCCTGGGAAGGCCCTGCCGGTCCAGCTTTTGTCTGCGGTCAGCAGTGTGCGTGACGTGAGGACGGGCGAGGGACCGGAGGGGCTGCGGTGGTGAGAAGCACTGGGAGAGGCTGGGCTGAGCCATGAGCAAGGGGAGGAGCAGAGAAAGCACAGGAGAGGAGGGAGAGAAGCGGACGAGCCAGCACGGGAGCAGCCGCAGAGCTTTCCAAGGAGAGCTGGGAGAGTGCTCTGAATGCCAGCGCCAGCCCCCCGAGACCGGACCGTCCCCGCCCCGAGAGTCACCCCAAACCTGACTCTGCGACGGGGTCTCCACCCCTGCCTTTTGCCCCTCGTTGTCTCCTGAGCAGAACGGCTGAGGCTCTCCGCCCCCCTCCGCCCCCCAGGCAGGGGTCTGGGCCGACAGCCTGGTGGTTTTGTTTTGCTTTCTGATTTTGCAACAGACTTGGCAGAAGGAAAGGAATATTAACAAGGAGGAGGCCCACGGGGGCGAGGGCTGGAGGAGTCGCTGTGCTGCTCTGTGCTCTCAAGGAGCCTGGAGAAAGGCTGCATTTGGGCTTGCAGGGGGTGAGTGGGAAAAGATGGGTTGGCACGCACCACGGCCCCGCGATCCCTCCCAGAAGGTCCAGCGAAGAGCTCTGGGTGCACTGGGTGCTCTGGGTTTCTTGGGGAACCTCCAAGATGACTCCTGAGGGCCCAAGGTCACCTCCCTCTAGACAGTGTGCCCCGCCGTCCCACACAGACCCACCGCAGACATGACTGGGCCGTGTGGCCCTGGAGCCAACATGAGGACCCTCCCTGACCTCTGACCCGCCGCACAGGCCCTGCCAGCCAAGCCTTGTCCTGACCCCGGGTTGAGCGCTCTGAGCCTCTGGGGCCTCCTTCCTTTGTCCCAAGGAAGAGCCGCCCCCTGGGGCTCTTGGGATACCGTCAAAGTGGACATGGCCGTGGGGCCACTTATCCACTTAGAGACGTGACTCACATCTCTGCTGTGGTTGATCTGTCCTGGGATTCAGGAGTAACCAACCCGGCCCCGGACCCCACAAAGATGAAAGGAAGCAGAGAGGCCTGCAGACTGGAGGAGTGACAGCTGTCCCCATGCTGTCCCCAAATCCCAGGATGCAGGTGCAAGTAAACATGAACAGATCAATGGTGAGCCGCTCCTCCATCCTTCCTTGGCTCTTGCCTCATCCCTCCTTGGAGGCGTGTCTTGGAAAATGTATCAAACCAGGCTTTTGCAGGAGTTTTGATCTGGCTGTTTGGGAATTAGCCCCCAGGCTGGGACACACGTGGCCTCATTAGCACTTCAGATGCCTGAAGTCTGGCGTTTGATTTTCCTGCTATGGGCCTCCCCAGGCAGGTAACAGAGCAGCCAGGAAGCACTCAGAGAGCCTGGGCCGGAAGAGCCAGCCCTGAGGAACGCCCGAGGCTGGGACGGCTTCCCTGTGATGCCGCCCCCCCCCCTTGTGTCCCTGTCCCGAAGGCATTTGCTCCGCAGTGTCCCATTGTGCAGCTGCAGAAATGAGGCACAGAGGCCTCGGGTCCCCATCACAGACCCCAGACGTCAGCCCCCAGCCCCTGAAACTGCAGATAAGATGTCTCTCCTGCTCAGGACCCCATCTGGCGGAAGGTAGCCACCACATGTCCTGCTCTGCCTGAGGCCCCCTGTGGCCAGCATCCGGGTCAGCACTGAGCGTCAAGCTCCTGAGCCTCCAGAAAGCCCATTCCACACCCATCTGCCCTGTGCCCTCACTCGGTGGCCCACTCAGTGTCCCCCCAGAATGGGTGTTCAGGGCCCCAGATGTCACCTCCCACAAGGACCACCTCACAGGGCCTGTGCAGTAGTTAAATGCCTGAAAGCCGATTTTGGTCAGGAGCAATTGCAGTGGGTCAGAAACCTCAGGCCAGGACTGGGCTCCACTCTGAATGCAAGAGGCAGGGAGGGGTGAGGAGAAGGAAAAGAGCAGAGAAGAAACACTGGCCAAAGACCTGGCGTCAGAGAGGGGAGGAACTGATCCAGCTGAGGAATGCAGTCAGGTACCGGGGTGGGGTCCTCTCGGAGCACAGGTTCTTGCTAAAACTGGGCTGTGAGGGACGAGGTCAAGGCAGGCTCATGTGAAGACATGAGTGCACGGCGTGGTTAGGACAAGTCTTCTGTCTTGCGTCACACAGGAGGTGCAGGGTGGACTTGGGTCCTTGCAGAGCTCCGAGGTGGCCCACCCTGCAGCCTCAGGACCCCCACGGCCCTGCAGCCTCAGCTCCCTGCTCTCCCAAGAAGCGGGATGTCTTTAGCTGGTGAGAGCAGCACTGATGTGTGGACCCTGCCAGCTCCAAAGCTGGGCACGTTGGTCCGTGCTCCAGCAGGCTGCAGGGTGTGAAGCACGTGGACCGAGAGAGGGGCCTGGATCTTCCCCATCTGTGAGCTGCCATGGGAGGGAGGGAACTTGGTTCCAGGCTTGTCCTCATGCGTCCTCTGCTGGAGGGGACAGTGGTGGGGCCCAGTGGTGTTCTGCAGGGAAGGATGCTACACTCCCCACGCAGGCCTCTTCCTGAGGGAAATCAGCGGGAAACAATACTTCACCAACACCCCAGGCCACCTTCCTCTGACTGGACTGTACACAAACACACATGCACACAGCACAGTACCTGTTCACTCACACACCTCTGTGCAAGCATGCCCAGCTGTGACTGCACAAAGGAGCTCATGGCATGCATGTGCTCAAGCACCATACGTGCTTACACGCATGCATGCTCCCACATGTGCGACCACACATGCAGGGCACACACCTGCATGCCCACATCTGTGTGCTTGCTACATGTCTGCACACACACACAAGCGCACTTACATGGGTGCACACGCACGTGCGCGCGCACACACACACATTCTTTCCTGAAACCTGAGCCTCCTGTCACTAGCTCCAGTCTGGGAGAAGTGAGGGCTGCTTCCCCCTAGGTGCCGGTCTGGATAGAAAATTCCAGAAGACTTGCACCCCCTGAAGTCCAGGTAGTAATCTTGGGGCCTTGTGTGGACTCCAAGCCTCACCTTCTGCTGCGGCCAGCTGGGCTATTTGATGCAGGAGTGGCCATCCGGCCTCTGCGAGGGGCAGAGCTGCCATGTGCATGCAGCAGGCCAGTGTGGACTTGAGGAGGTCTGGCCAGGAGGACTCTGGAGGCCCGTGACTCAGCTGTGACCAAGGATGGGCACTTGCACGTGGCAGCCACTCAGCCGGGCCTGGTCCCCTGCAGCAGTGGTGGCACAACCACAGATTCTCAGACGCCCACCCTCTTCCCTGTGCTTGGGACAGGGTCACAGAGGGCTCTGGAATCCTAGGTAGCCCACAGGCCACCGGGAAGGGAGGAGGAGGAGCTCGGCCCAGGGGTAAAACCACCCAGAGAGACCCACTCTGGTCCCGGTTCACGGGGTCTCGGTCACCATGTGCAGTCATTTCCTCCCTCTGCCCCACGCACCCTCACCAAACCCTCAGTCCACGGGGCTGAGTGCTGAGCGTGCATTCACCCCAGTGTCCCTGGGACTCTCCTGGTCCCCTGACGCTGCTTCTGGACCACCCCGCGCTCCCTGGACAGTCGGTCATTCCGGGCAGCCTGGCCATCACCTGCTCCTGGGAGTGGGACGAGGCCACACCGGACAGAGGAGTCTCGGCTTCTGCTCAAAGGCATCATCTGTGCCCAGTGTGGCTCCCCCTGAGCCACTGGGACCTTCAGGCAACAGAGAAGGTGACACGTGAGCAGCTCCATCCTCCCCTCCACTCTGTGACTGGGACTTCTGCCCACGGAAAACAGCCCCTGATGCAGAGGTTCAGGCTGTCCTTGCTCCTGTGGGTTGCGACATCACCCTCGCGTGACCTCACCTGAGGGCGGCTTGTAGCAGGGCCAGGGCCACCTCTGTGTAGGGCCCGGTGTTTCCAGGTGTGCAGGGACCCCGTGCGCACTGGCCAGGTCCTTGTGTCTTGTCCTGGTCACAGAAGCGTGTGGGTCACAGGACGGTGCTGGCAGAAGCTGAGTGGGAAAGGCAGCAAATCCAGGCCCCAGGACAGAAGACCCCCGCACCAGAGGAGAGGGAGAGGCTCTGGCCACGCTGAGCTCCTCTCTGTCACATCCTGGGTGCGAGGACCAGTCTGCTGTGATCAAAAGGCCTGAGTGCGCAGTGACTTCCAGAGAGAGCCCATCTCAGTGCTCGTCACTCTGAGGGACAGGCTGGACTGGCCAGCAGCAGCCGCCATGCGGCCGTCAAGAGCTCAGGTATCAGGTCCTTCTGTGGTCACAGTGGGGCCACAGAGAAGAGAGCTCGGGCAGAAGCGGACCGCAGTGGAGCCTGAGCCACGTGGACAAGGGGGCTGCGGCACTGCGGCGGAGGAAGGGTGCATTCGTGTCGGGGCGGCTGGGGCCCAGCCTGCCGCTGCCTTCCCCTCATGGCCCCATCTCCTTCCCCAGTCCCTCCCGACCCTCCGGCTGGGAGCATGGACACTGTGTCTGCAAGGCCTCTGTCCTCGTCGCCTGGCTTCTCTCAAGGGTCCCGCACCATCCGTCTCTTGCTCTTCCCCGGCCCCTCTGCCTGCACACTCTCGCATCCCTCACTGGCTAGTGTGTGGGGTCCTCTCTTCTGTCCTGCATCCCGGGTCCCCGCCCTTCCTCTGGCTTCCGGGACAGAATCCAGCCCTGACCCTGCATCCTCTTGGCTCAGTGACCCCCGGTGCTGACTTCCCTATAGGACCCCAGTTTCCCACACGAAGCTCCTGCCCGGGTGACGAAGATGCACCCGACCTCACAGCCCTTCGGATCCCAGCCCCAGGCTGCCAGGCACGCACCCTCAGTGCTGGGGGTCCTCTTTGTCCCCTCTTGCCCTCATTGCCGTGTCCTGCCATCCAGGATGTTCCCCACCCTCCCGAAGCTCCTGCCTGACTCCTCCCAAACCACCTTCAACTCCACCTGCAGGGCCTGCGCAGGGCCTGAGGACACTGTGTGGACCCTGTGGGCCCCCGGAGGGAATAGCCATGGTCCAGCCTGGTGCCCCTAGGGCTCCCACTGTCCTCCTCGGCCCAGTGGCAGAGTGAGATGTAACCAGGCCAGGGGAGGCCATGATCCACAGGATTCTTCTCCAGCTGTAGGGACCCAGGCACTGAGTGCCACCCAGCGAGCAAGGGCGGCATTGGGTCTCCTCCCCCAGGGCTTCGGACCCCAGGGCTGCATCCAGCCTTCATTTGAGAGCCTCAGTTGGTCAGTGAGCTCCAGGAAGCTGTCTGCTCACTCCGGAAGCTCTGAGGCCTCCGGCTGCTGTCCCCAGCTGTGTGTGTCTGTGTCTCTGCCTGCACCCTGCACCCCTCCTCACCCTGGATGGGTCTGGCAAGGTCAGCAGCATGTGGAGGAGATGGAAGTAGCTGTCTGAAGCATTCCACAGCAGCCTCTGGCGGAAGCAGCCCCCCTGGGAGAGCACTGCTTCAATCAGGCGTTGATGAAGCCGTAAATTATCAGGAACTAATTTTCCTGAATGGAATCGCTTGCACAGACCTGCTTTAGGCCAGAGCCCAGCATAGGGGCCCCTCACCTGCTCACACAGCATGCGTCCACCAGGAGGATGAGGCAGGCTGAGACAGGGAGGACCCTGGGGACGTTGCACTGATGCCTGCCTCTCAGCACACTTGGGCCTCTCGAGCAGGGCCTGGACAGTGGAGGGACGCAGCTCCCAGCGGCCTGGTCCTGCTGCCTGTGGAGGGGCTGGCTGTTTCCTGGGGCAGCCCTGAAAGCCCCGGGATGATGAGGCTTTCTGGAGCAAGCACAGCCCCGGGGCACAGTGGGTGATGTGAATGGGCACAGAGGACAGCCCTTCCCCACAGAGACAGGAAGGAAGGGCCCTGGGGCCTGGCCTCTAGGAGGGAGGGGTCAAGATGATCACAGGTCTGCGGGTGTGGAGCCAGTGGAGAGACTTGAAAATGCTGCCCTCGAGGATAGAGCAGCGTGGTGGCCAGCCGAGGAGGGCCTGGGCTGCCAGGGGCTGGCAGAGGCGGGAAGGATCCTCCCTGGCAGCCTCCGGAGGAAGTGGTCCAGGACACCTGGATGGCAGACACCTGTCTCTGAAACTGGGCAGCAGGCACTTCTGTGGCTTTATGGTCCTTTACTAGCAGCCTCCCACCGGACCTGCTGTATGCCGGGCTGCCGGCATAAAGGAAAATCCAGGTGCAGCTGGACCAAGGCTGGTACTGCTGAGTGACGCTTTGCTCTCCCCAGCCCTGGCACTTGCGGGTTACCAGCACCCCTCCTAGGAGGCCCTTTCTGGTCACTCTCTGCTGGCCACCAGCCCTGGCTCAGGGCACATGTGATGCATGGATGGAGAGTGAGCTAGGATCCGCAAAGGGCAGGTGCCCATCCTTCCACCTGCCGCTGGTCGCAAGTACAGAGATCCGGCACCATGGGCATCCTTTAGGGTTCTCCAGAGAACAGCCAGTAAGATTCAAGGGTGCACAGAAAGGGCTTACTGCAAGGAATCGTCACCCCGAGCTGCGGAGCCCCACCCTGCTTTCACACACAAACACGCACCACTGCTCAGTGACCCCATCTCGTCCATCAATCAGACGACCGGACATGTGAGGCTGGGGCTCCATGGTGGGCTCCAGTGTGCCTCCCTGGCAGCTAGAGAGAGGTACTGGCCAGAGAACGCAGCACAGACATCAAGTGGCTTGTCCTTGTCACCCGCCCCTGCCCTGCAGGTCCAGCAGGTGCTGGCAGGTACCACGGGTGTGCGCTGCATGGCATAAGCAGAGGCTATAGCTGCTCCCCCATCACACACGCATGGTCACATCCATGCACACACTTGAGCAGGCATGCGTAGATATACACAAGCATGCTTACACACAAGGCAGACGTGAGTGCACAGGAGCACACATGCAGATGTGTGTGTACACAGATGTGCATGTACACAGATGTGCTTCCAAGCCCAAGAGCCACCCAAGCAACACCTGGAAAGCAAGCGATTTCTGGGGAACTGCAGAGCGGTGCTCCGTGGCAGGCCCTGACATTCAGTGCCAGATGACAGTCTCCGTGGGCTGGAGCCAGGACTTCCGGCCTATCCAGGGAGGCCCAGGGTCCACAGCCCTCAAGTCCCAGGTCCTCTTCCCCACTGGTTCCCCCTGCATCCTACCACAGCCTAGTGCCTCCTGCTGCAAGCCCCTTCTGGCCAGAGTCCTCTCTCCCTGAGGAACAGGCTCAGCCTCTCTTCCAGCCTCCCGGTGCAGTGATCACCTTGAACTCCGCTGCTCGACCTTGAGCTTGGCCTTCCCTCTGCCTCAGCAGAGGAGCACCGCTTCCTTCTCCTGTAGGTCCACCCAGCTCCAGCCCAGGATCGTGTGTGCAGTTGGGACTTTATAAGCGCTCATGGTGTGCACAGCTGACTGGTGAGCTCATCCCCCCGGCTGCTGGTGCACGGGTGGCCTGGACCCTGCTTACCAAGAGCAGGCTGCGGGTGAGGGTCACACTGACCAGACCTGGCTGGCGGGCGGTCTAGAGACTGGAGACTCCACCTCCTCCTCTCAGCCCCTTGTCGCTCCCCTGCACCTTGTCCCCACTCCTCGCCAGAGGACCTGGGGACCCACTTTCACTCTGGAGTCCTCGGTCTATCCCCCTCCATGTGGTAGGGTGACTGCTGCCTCCCTGAAGCAAAGATTTCCCTCTAAGCTTGTGCCGGTCAGTTGATAGGAACCAGCACAGCCCATCTGACAGCAGGCCCGCTTGAATCCCAGTTCTGCAACCAGGAAGGGCAGAATCTTTTCAAATAAAGCAATGTTTGTTTTTAATTATTGAATTAACTACAGACATCTTTGCTCAGCTTCCAGTGCTCTGGAGGAATCAGCATGAGGGCAAACTGTAAACATCTGGCATCTGCCCAGCCAGCTTCTTACAGAATTCAGGGGGCTCTGCAGTTAGTATAGAGCTCCCAGCACTCACTGTGAGTGAGGGTTTCATGCAGGTCGGCTCCACAGAGCTTCAGGGGCTCAGGAAGTTTTCTTGGAGCACTCACAGAGAGCCCAGGCAACTTGAGCAGAATGTCAGGGACACACAAAACCTGGTCACCTCCCCCTCTAGGATGTGGACATCCCCATTCCAAATCTTCCTCAGAGAGATGATCTCCCTGGCACACTCAGGCAGGACAAGCTCACTAAGACCGTCCCACCGTGGTGACCTCCTGAGCTAGCCGCATGTGGGCCTGTCCCTCCCCATGGGACCTTCTCCTGTCAGCACCTGGGATTTTCTTACAGGGAGTCGCTGTCCAGTGGGAGCCCTGGGCAGTGAGTCACTGGCTGCCCACCAGGATCTGACAGCACAGGGGCAAAGAAGATTTGGAGCAGACAGTCCAAGAGGCGGCTCTGATACCAAGACACAGGGGCCTCAGGGGACAGTGGTGGATGAAAGAGGCCAGGTGAGGGGGTAAGGAGACCAAAGGGCTCGCAAGATCCCCAGAGACCCCAGGAAACAGAGCAGGGGTATATGTCAGGGGACTCAAGAACCCACAAAACAAGCCAGTGCCCAGATTTGAGAATCGATGTGGATGAGAGCTGCCCCCAAGGACAGCAGGACTCAGACTAAACCAGCTCTGAGGCCGTGGAGGAGCAGTGCCAACCCCCATGTGGACATCCCCAAGGCCAGGGCCTGGCCTCACCAGGTTTTAATGACTCCTCACCTCGAAGGTGGCCCTCCAGCACGGAGCCGCGCCTCTCGATGCTTGGGGTCTCTGTCCCTCTGAATCCGACCAGGCTCTTGTCCTTTACTGTGCCAGGGGCCTGGGATGGATGGGCCAAACGTCCAACCAGGGGGTTCAGCCGGGGTATTTCCATGCCCAGGGCCCTTGTGGTGTCTGGAAGCAGTGCTGGCTGCAACAGCTGCAGGAGCAAGCTCCCAGCATCCAGTGGGTGGAGGCCAGGAAGCAGGTTACAGTGCCCTGGACAGACCCACCACAGTGACTCATCCACCTGAAATGCCAGTGACACCATGCCAGGGAAGGGGTGGCCCACTGATCCCTGGAAATGACACTCCCCCAGGACTCAGGGTCCCCAAGAGGGTGACACGCATCTTCAGGCCTGATGGCGGGGTCTGCACAGCAAGAAGCCACAGCCCTGGGTGAGGAAGTCCCCTTCCCGGACACATCATCCACACTGCCTATCGTCTCCGGTGTGGAAGCAAAGTCCACCTGTGCTGGAGGTAGCAAGCCCACCGGGCCGATGAGTCAGCTGCCGGGTGCATGGTGGTGGCCCTCCGTGCTCCTGCGGGTCAGTGTCCAAGAACAGCACCCCTCAGGGACACAGCTGTCTGCCCTGCCCTGCCATGTCCATGCCCACCACACAAGCACAGGTGTGCGCACACACACACCATGTGCACACACCAAGCCCACACCTGTGCTCCTACATGCTCAGGCACCTGTGCACACAAACACATGCACAATGTATCTGTGCACACGCACAACTACACAAATGCCTGCAGCATGTGCACACATGCACACATGACACCACATGATGTACGCGTATACAATACAGTGCACACATGCTCACACTTGTGTGCACAACACATGCCATATAGATGTGCTCATGCATGCCTGATACACGCACCACACACACCCACATACCCAGGGCAGCAGGCACATGCTCCTGGACATGCATACAAAGCCCGCATATGCACGCACAACATCCTTACACTGCCTGTGCACCCGTACTGTGCTCTGTGCACACGCACGCACCCCTGGCTGTGAAGGGCCGCTCCGTCTCCCCTTGGCCGCCACTCTGGCTCATCCAGGCTGCAGAAGAAAAACGAGCTCCGATTAAGATGTCTTGATGGAATGCGCTGCGGCCGCCCCCATTACTCATCCAGCTTCCGCAGACTTTAGTATTCCGTGCACTCCCTCCTTACTCCCTCCCCGCCGTCCCAGCCTCACAGCCCGAATCGCATCCCTTTCATCCCTAATATTATTGCTCACGTCCTCGCTGAGCTATTGTGGCATCCGCTGTCCTTCTGAGGCTGAGGTTTTACAAGAATGAATGCACACGATGGAAGCAGATATTTACAGTGCAGACCCAAGGTAGCTGGCTGGGACTGGCGGCTTTTATCATGGAGGGTGAGTGCGCACCGCCCACTCCCAGAAAACCTCCCAAACTGATTTTGCTTGATCTGTTGATGGCAATTTTGTTCAAAGTCTCCTTTCTTATTATATTTGCTCTTCGGGGCATTTTTGCCCTCGATCTCTTTGTGATCACAGGATTATAAGACCCGCTGGAATTCGTACCTTCCACTGCCAAGCCAGCCTCAGAGAGAGCAGCTCCACACACGGGACTGCTCCAGGCACTGGGGTCACCAGAGGCCAGCCTTCTGTCCTAGGCCTGGCGGGGATCACCGCAGTTAAGTGCCACCTGAATCTAATCACAGTCTCCCCTGCTGGAAGATTGCCATTGTCCTCTGTGTTGAGCTCCGTTCCTCTTGGCAAGCCTCCTGGTCTGCTCGTGCAGAGAGGGTCCAGCCTGGGCTGGCGGCTCCAAGAGTCCGCAGGATGGGGGAAGAGCAAGTTCACCCTTGGGGACACAGGGTCCTCTTCCCAGAGACCTGGCCTGGGCTCTGAGCTCCCAAAGGCCCTCACACACTACTGGGCCCCCACCTACCCGCACGCCTGGCCAGTACACGTCCCCTGGCCCCAGCCTGCTCTGTCTACCCCCAGGGGAATATTCACCCACAGCCTTGACTGTAGGTGTGCTTTTTTTCCTTCTAGCTCTGAGCTTGGGGGGAAAAAAAAATCTCCAAAATATGAATTATGTATTGAAAATTCAGGCAGAGCAATCACAGGCAATAAATAATTCCAAGCTACAGACACATTAGTTAGCTGTACAATTCACTCACAGGCGAAACCAACCTTCTCATTAACAACAAGCAAAGGCAGGAGCCTCTCTAATGTGGATTCCAGCTGCGAGGTCGCGCCCAGAGGGAGGGACCGCGGCCACCTGCTTCCCCGCCGTGTCCCCTCGCATGCTGCTCCTGTTCTTAGGCTCTGAACGGAAGAGCTCTGGGCCACAAAGTCCAGGCTCCTGCCGGCTCCATGCATTTCCAGAATGTTCCCAACGATCAGAGAAGGAACGCCCAGGACGACCACGTAAGTGATTTGTAGCTCCAGGGCACGCACTGAAGTACTTTTGGGACCTTCTACCCTCTGAGCTGTGTCTGCTGTTCTCCAGGAAAACACGCTGGTGGTGATGGCTTTGAAACGTTTGGAAAAATGATTTGCTGAGCAGGGGTGGGCCCCGAGATCCAGGGCCTTCTTAAATGATCCCACATTGGCAGGCGTGTCCTGGCAGGAGTAGAAGGGGCGGAGGGGCGTGATCACCCTGGCTCTCTCCTCCTCAGGTCAAGGGAGGCATGGAAGCTCGTAGAGTAAGGCACACCATCAGGTGCAGTGGCATCTCCCAGCCGCATCTGGGGGTGCAGCGTTTCCACCCTGTGTGTCCTTGTCCTAACTACCAAGTGGATTTTGCCCTGGGCACCATGCACTCGATATGAATTATCTAGGTGGATTGTGGCACTGTCACGACAGGACTTGCCCCCATTTTACCTAGGAAACACACAAAGCTCAGGTCTAAGCAGCCTGCCAGGGTGCCAGGCTCGAGACGAGCCTCTGAGCCATTCTGGATCTCATCCCCCTGCAGCAGTCAGGAAGGTGGCTGGCTTCTTGATAAGGAAGCTGAGTGCCAAGACATGCCCCTTGTGAGTGGGTGGCAGGGCCAGATGAGGTGCAGCAAGCCCCCCCTTCCGCTCCAAACAGCAGCCCCTCACCCAGTATCGTGAGCAAATGCTCAGGGCCTCTCGGATCTGCGTGCGGTGGCCCACGATCTGCAGGGCCCACTGTCACCCTTGCTCACCTTCTTCTTCCAGCTCTGGGGTCAGTTCGGCCAAGGCAGCCCTGACTTGGCCCAGCGCTAACTCACAGGCTCCTGCCTGTGGCCCTGGCCACACAGTGCTGGACCAAGCAGGAGGCTCTGCAAGATGACCCGCTCCTCCTCCAGCGGAACGCACGCTGCGCCCACCCCCGCTCACTCAGCATTTTAATGCCTTAAAAGCCTCTTCTTTCTCTTTGCATCAATTTTCTTCCAACAAAATATTAAAATTAAGCTTTGAAAGCCTGCCACCATGGTCTGGGCCCAGACCAGCTAGCAGAAGCTGGGCAGGCGAGGAGCATCACACCGGCTTAAATATTTAAAGAGACGCTGGGTAGCAAAGAGCTCTCAGGAAGCGCAGGGCTGGAAGGCTGTGGGGGCCAAGAAGGACATCTGAGGGTTTGTCCCACTGTGACAGCAGGAGCCATCTGGCAGGGGGCTGCCGGGGCCCTGGGTGGCCCAGCCCAGCCACTCGGCCCAGCACCCGTGATGGCAGTGAGGCTGCCTCTGCAGCCACCTGGCCCCGGACAGGGAAGGTAGGTTTGTGATAGAGCAGACTTTACAGAAAGGGGAACTGAGGCACAGAGAGGTGGAGCCACCTGCCTGGTAGGATGCAAACACTGTCTCAGACACCTTGGAGTTTTGCTTTCACACTGCGTTTTGGGGAGTCGCAGAACAGCACCATGGAGCAAAGGGGCCAGGACGGTTCAGCCCCAATGCCTGTTCTCCCAGGCAGGAAACTGAGGCCCAGATCTGAGGCCACCCAGGTGGTGCAGGGAGGAAAGCCAAGCAGGATTTTGTCTCTTGAGGATTCATCTGTTTGTTCACAGACAAGCAGGGCACATGGTGGGCCCCAGACCCTCGCGGGAGTGAGGAGCGAATGCGCAAACAGGCAAACACACATCTGCTCTGCACCCTGCACGTTACTGCGCATGGGGACTCCGAGGGGAGGACCGGGGTCCTGGGCCTGCAGTGTGAGGCAGGGCAGGCAGCTGGCCCGGGACCCCTGTCAGGGGCCGTGTGGAGAGTCACCTCCCAACCCACACGGCCCGTGAACAGGATCATGGGGACGGCAGGGGGCGGGGACAGGAAGCTCCTGAGCCAGCCACAGCCACTGACCCTCACCTGAACAATCCACCAGGCCGGTGCACACACATGCATGGACGTGCGCATGTACACACACACACACACACACACACACACACACACACACACACACGGGCTGCCCTTGGAAGCCAGTCTGGTGAGCACCTGCATCTGTGGGCATGTGTCAGGACGGGAGAAGCTCCCGAGCCTCTGAGCCGAGAACTCCTCCTGCGCTGGCGTGATGGAAACTGTCTGCCACCTGGCCAGCGCAGGGGCAGAGTAAGCGTGATGTCAGGGCACACGGTGAGGGTGTTTCCAGGTGGTCTTAGCACTGAACCAGGGCACTCAGAGGCCCAAGCACAGCAGAAAGGCCAAGTAAGGGGATCCTGTCATCGCCGCCCTGCCCCCCGTCGGGTGGGACCTTGGTCTTCCACAGCTTTCTGAGGCTGGTGCTGAGGGCTCCCTGCGCCCCACTCCCTCTGGAACTGGCATGGCCTTCCCTGGGCTTCCAGCTTGCAGCCAGAGGTCCTGGCCCCTCAGCCTCCTCCATCTTGTGGCGAATCAGCTCTTCATCAGCGTAAATCTCCTTATCTATGGCCTCCAAACTCGGGTTCTCACCCCATCTCCACCTGCCCCACAGCAGTCCTGCCTCCACACGCATCCCTTCGGGGGACGCCATCCTCGCCACCATGGCCCCAAAATGGGGGAGGGACAGCTTTGAGTATGAGCCACTCCTTGCCCTGCAGCCCCGTGAGCTTGGCCGCTCTCTGCCGCCCTCGAAGCTTTTCTCCTCCCCCGGCCATGTGAGGCCTCTATTCCCTCTGCCCAGTGCCGCACTGCAGAGGCCTGCCTGGGCCGGGACAGAGGGGACTCACAACTGGGACAGACTGGCAAGACTGGCCCCAGCCCCGGGGCACTGCCCGGTAGTAGCCCAAGCCAGACCATCCTCAGTAACAGTCACAATAGCTGAAAGCTCCGATCCACCCGCAGTGGCAAGGAGCCGGGCCAGCATGTGGCCTTCTGTTGGCGCAATGGACAGCACCTCCCGGCCAGTACACCAGCCCAGCGCCTTCCTGGGGAGCTGCAGTGGTTGATTGATCATGTCCACTTGAGAAGTTTAGAAGCATAACTAAACTTGGCTCAGCAATTGGCCCAGCAATTCTACACCCTAGGGTGTAGAGGAGCCACCTAGGGTGGATCATCACCTAGATAATATAAAAGGGAAATGAAGAAGGACAGAGGTACTTCCATTCCTTTTGGAGGAGCTCATCTTCACCTTCAGCTTGGACTTCGTCTCCTGGCTTCTAGTGCAGACTCTTCGGCTTCCACCTTGGATCCTTCAGCCTTCCGTCGCAGACTCATCGGCCTCCTGATGCGGACTTGCACGGAACTCTGCAGTGAACTCCAGACCCTGGACTGATGCCTTCGGTCTTCAGTGTGCAGACGCCCTCTGCACACTTCCCCATACAACCCTCTGGCTGACCGTCGTAAGCCAATCTTGTCATTTCTTATAATTTGTACATCCTGTGTTATATGTGTTTCTCTGGTAAAACCCTGACTGATGCAGGAGCCAAGAACCGCTGGCTTCGCGGGCGTGCAGGGCCACTCATGAGCGAGGACATGGCTCTGTGCCACACGTCCCTGCACGTGACGAAGTGTCCCGCAGAGCCTGCCTGCTCTCTGGGGAGAGGACTTCAGCGCCACACCATCCAGGGGCTGGGAGGTGTTCGTCCTGGCTCTCCCAACTGGCCCTTTATCTCCTTGGCGGTGCCCTCTGTGCCCCCTGGTTCCTCTGCCCTCCCCGACCTTGTCCACACAGGGCCCCGTGCTCTGCCTTCAGCCCCTCCATCCCGGACATATACCCTGGGTCACCAGGTAAAGGCCAACCGTTTGATGAAGGTCCCCTGACCTCTGTCCCCAGGCCAGTGCCCCTGCTGCCCCTTGCTCAGGCACCCAGGCTTCGGGAAGCTCCCGCCTGAGATCAGGCAGGCGACCAGGTCCGGGGACAAAGTGGAAGCCGAGGTCTCCCCGACCCCGTGCTGACCCTGGTGCACTGT